TTGGATTATCTGTTCCTATCTATCTTTTCTACCTATTTGGATTTACCTTTTACTGTGGATTACTTTTTACTGTTACTGCTTTTAATTATCTTCAATAAACTGCTTGCTATATTACTCAGCTGTGTGGTATTTGTAGTCAGAGGGATTCCTGGGCTGGAGTGCAACAAAAGGGGTTTAACACACATAGAATCGAAGAGTTGGAAGAGACCTCCTGGGCCATCCAGTCCAACCCCATTCTGCCAAGAAGCAGGAAAATTACATTCAAAGCACCCCTGACAGATGGCCATCCAGCCTCTGTTTCAAAGCCTCCAAAGAAGGAGCCTCCACCACACTCCGGGACAGAGAGTTCCACTGCTGAACGGCTCTCACAGTCAGGAAGTTCTTCCTCATGTTCAGATGGAATCTCCTCTCTTGTAGTTTGAAGCCATTGTTCCGCGTCCTAGTCTCCAGGGAAGCAGAAAATAAGTTTGCTCCCTCCTCCCTGTGGCTTCCTCTCACATATTTATACATGGCTATCATATCTCCTCTCAGCCTTCTCTTCTTCAGGCTAAACATGCCCAGCTCCTTAAGCCGCTCCTCATAGGGCTTGTTCTCCAGACCCTTTATCATTTTAGTCGCTCTCCTCTGGACACATTCCAGCTTGTCAATATCTCTTTTCGATTGTGGTTCCCAGAATTGGACACAATTGTCATGACCCAAGGAACACAGATTGTCTCAAACAGCAATTGAGATGTAAAATAATAGTCTTTTAATGAATAACAAACTTAATGAGGCACTTTAACAGCAGTGAAGGCAGTTCAAAAGGTGTTTTCAGGCAACTATGGTGATCCAGGCCACGGTCATCTCAAGACTGAACTACTGTAACGCTGATCCCTAATCCATCTAAAACACGTGTGCTTTTCATCTTAGGAACAGACAAGCATCCCGAGCTCTGGGGATGAACTGGAAAGGAATCCCACTGGAGCATTGCAGCGCACCCAAATGCCTGGGGGTTACTCTGGACCTACAAGAAGCACTGCCTGAATATCAAGCAAAAAGTGGGCACTAGAAACAATATCATACGAAAGCTGACTGGCACAACCTGGGGATCATAACCAGACACAGTGAAGACATCTGCCCTTGCGCTATGCTACTCTGCTGCTATTATTATTATTATTATTATTATTATTATTATTATTATTTGAAACACAACAAGATGAGTCCACAGCAGACACTCTGCTGGCTGTTGTATTGGATCACACGTCGGACACTTCCCAAGTGTCTAGGACTGTGTGATGTATCGGCAAATAATGCATGCAGATCCCAGTAAGGTGACCTTCTGCAGCTGGCAGATGGTAATTTTGTCAGCTGATTGTTTTTAAGTGCAGGCCAAGGTCTTTAGGCACTGCACCCAGTGTGCCGATCACCACTGGGACCACCTTGACTGGCTTGTGCCAGAGTCTTTGCAATTCAATCTTTAAATCCTCATATCGTGTCAGCTTTTCCAGTTGTTTCTCTTCAATCCTGCTGTCACCTGGGATTGCAACATCGATGATCCATACTTTGTTTTTTAACATGATTGTGAGGTCAGGAGTATTGTGCTCCAAAACTCTGTCTGTCTGAATCCGGAAGTCCCAGAGGAGTTTGGCGTGTTCATTCTCTGTAACTTTTTTCGGCTTGTGATCCCACCAGTTCTTTGTCGCAGGCAGATGGTATTTGTGGCTCCACTTCACATGAAGAGCATCATTTTTATTTATTTATTTATTTGACTTGTATACCGCTACTCCCAATTTGGCTCGGAGCGGTTGACAGCAGTAGATTAAAACAATACAATTAACTTTAAAATACAATAAAACAAGAACAGACATAGTCCTGAGTGATTCACCCATCGAAAGCTTGGCGGAAGAGAAAGGTTTTACAGGCTTTCCGAAAAGCAAGTAGGTTTCGGATAGTTCGGGTTTCTTGCAGCAGCTGAGGATGGGATCTATTGTTTCATCTGCTTCCTTGCAGAGTCTACACTTGGGATCTGTCGTTGACTTTTCAATTCTGGCTTGGATGGCCTTGGTTCGAATGGCTTGTTCTTGGGCTGCCAGAATCAGGCCCTCCTTTGTCTCCTTTTTCAGAGTTCCATTTGTGAGCCACAGCCATGTTTTTCTTTGTCAATTTGGCTCTCAATTTTTCCCAGGAACTGTCCATGGAGAGAGAGCCTTCTTTGGCCAGTTTTCTCTTCTGCTCTGGATTGTGTTTTTACGGTATTCCCTCTTTGTCTTTTGCACTTGAAGCAGTTTACTACTCTTGATTTCCTGCAATAATTAATAATAATAATTAATATTATTGGGTTATTGTACATTTTTCCGGGTTATATGGCCATGTTCTAGAGGCATTTTCTCCAGACGTTTCGCCTGCATCTATGGCAAGCATCTTCAGAGGTAGTCACCTCACTACCTCTGAGGATGTTTGCCATAGATGCAAGAAAAACCTACAACAACCCAGTGATTCCAGCCATGAACTTCTATTATTATTATTTATTATAATTATTATTATTTATTTATTATTTATTTATTATTATTTATTTATATATTATTATTATTTATATATTTATTATTATTATTATTACGTGCTATTTATTTATTTATTATTTATTTATTTATTTATTTACTGCATTTATTGACCGCCGCTCTCAGCCCTAGGGCGACTCGCGGCGGTGCACAACATATAAAAACAGTTTACAAAAGGGCAAAACAGGAAATCAATACAACAATAATACACTATAATCTAAGTTACACTAAATAATCCGCTCCGTCACATCATAGAATCATAACCAATACCGTAATCCGAATTCCGTTCCAGTTGTCAATTACCAGTTGCCGTAGCGCTCAGTTCAATGCCTTCTCAAATAGCCAGGTCTTCAGGCTCTTACGGAAGGACAGAAGGGAGGGCGCCTGTCTGATGTCAGCAGGGAGGTCGTTCCACAGCCGGGGGGCCACCACCGAGAAGGCCCTTTCTCTCGTCCCCGCCAGACGTGCCTGTGAAGCAGGCGGGATCGAGAGAAGGGCCTCCCCAGACGATCTCAACAAACTTATTTGTTGACCTGGAGCCCAGAAATTCAGCACCGGGAGGAAGCCAGTTGTCCTCTCCTATTTTGGGGGATATCACGGACATGTGCCGGAAGAAGCAAGGATACAGTAGGGATTCTCTATCATCATTCCTATCCTGCTCACCCTCCAGTTGGATCAAGCCAGGCACAGAGGCCTGAATCCCTAGCAAATATCTCCAGTCCTCAGATAGTTTATTGATTCCCAAAGCTGTTAATTGTAGCCATGGCAATGTCTCTCCACCTTCTGATGTAAATAGATAGATTGACCCGACCAGGTGCAAATCTCTTTGATTTCATAGGTCTATTTTCGTTGGGACTAACAATAGGATTCAGGTAAATCCAATGGGATGTTGGCCTGCATCAAGAGGAGCCTAGTGTCTAGATCTAGGGAAGTCATGCTCCCCATGCTCTATTCCGCCTTGGTTAGACCACTTTACCTGGAATATTGTCCAATTCTGGGCACCACAATTCAAGAGAGATATTGACAAGCTGGAATGTGTCCAGAGGAGGGTGACTGAAATGATCAAGGGTCTGGAGGACAAGCCCTATGAGGAGCGGCTTAAGGAGCTGGGCATGTTTAGCCTGAAGAAGAGAAGGCTGAGAGGAGATATGATAGCCATGTATAAATATGTGAGAGGAAGCCACAGGGAGGAGGGAGCAAGCTTGTTTTCTGCTTCCCTGGAGAACTAGGACGCAAGGGAACAATGGCTTCAAACTACAAGAGAGGAGATTCCATCTGAACATGAGGAAGAACTTCCTGACTGTGAGAGCCGTTCAGCAGTGGAACTCTCTGCCCCGGAGTGTGGTGGAGGCTCCTTCTTTGGAAGCTTTTAAACAGAGGCTGGATGGTCATCTGTCAGGGGTGCTTTGAATGCAATATTCAAAGAATGGGGTTGGACTGGATGGCCCATGAGGTCTCTTCCAACTCTATGATTCTATGATTCTATGAAAGCAGTTGGTTGATCTGTTCACAGAAAACATTAGGAACCCCCTCAACATTGTGCGAGACAACTCTAACGTTATGTAAGAGGTGAACGATCAAAATGTTGCAGACGGCAATGCCAATTGGCGCAGTGGGTTAAATCGTTGAGCTGCTGAACTTGCTGATTGAAAGGTCGCAGCTTCGAATCTGGGGAGTGGGGTGAGCTCCTGCTGTTAGCCCCAACTTTTGCCAAGCTAACATTTTGAAAACATACAAATGTGAGTAGATCAATAGGCACCAGAGTCAGGAAGTTCTTCCTCATGTTGAGAAGGAGATTCCATCTGAACACGAGGAAGAACTTCCTGACTGTGAGATCCGTTCAGCAGTGGAACTCTCTGCCCCGGAGTGTGGTGGAGGCTCCTTCTTTGGAAGCTTTTAAACAGAGGCTGGATGGCCATCTGTCAGGGGTGATTTGAATGCAATATTCCTACTTCTTGGCAGAATGGGGTTGGACTGGATGGCCCATGAGGTCTCTTGGCAGAATGGGGTTGGACTGGATGGCCCATGAGGTCTCTTCCAACTCTTTGATTCTATGATTCTACCACTCCAGCGGGAAGGTAATGGCGCTCCATGCAGTCATGCCAGCGGCCACATAACCTTGGAGGCGTCTACAGACAACGCCAGCTCTTTGGCTTAGAAATGGAGATGAGCACCAACTCCCAGAGTCGGACACGACTAGACAATGTCAGGGGAAAGCCTTCACCTTCACCTAATGCCAATTCAATTACTGCAATTTGAGATCCTAATTGGGGTCATGGACTACCAGGGATGGTAAAGGCCGAGACTGGTATTTTCGTCCGAGATTTCGTTTTACTTTGCTACCAACCTGTCAATCCTCAGCCTTCAAACCCATTCTCAGTGAGAACTCATCAACGGAAAATGAAAGCTCTTAAGAATTGAAGAGGGTGTTCAAATGCTACCTGTTTGTTTCTTTGTTTTTAGGAGTGAACAATGGCGACATCTCCTCTTCAGATGTGTCAGGTGCTCCATCTGATGGGACTTTACATAGGAGGGATAAACCAGGTACGCGGAGATTCAAAACAGGAAGGGAAGCAATGGTGGGTTTGAGGGGAAATGAGCCCACTTCTGCTCCGGGGTCTTACTAGAGGATGGGCCATCGGTCGGGAGGACTTGGGTGCAAAATTCCATCATGTTTTGGGTCATGCTTCATGGCAGGATGGGCTGGACTGGGTGGCTCTTTAGGATCTCCTGCCAGTTTATGGCTCCATGAGTCTTCTGCCTCCATCCCATTGTATCCTCTTCAGCATCAGCTGAATGCTTGCGTGTCATGGGTTGATGAATCCACTCTGCCTTTGAACTCGAAAGAAGCTCCCCAAGATGCTGAACCTATTTGGAGAAGATGAGGTTCAATACCTTCCAAAGCTCTTGTGAAGTTTCTGAAGGAGATCATAACATTTTGCTTGATTTTCCATCCCACCTGGTAGTTAAGTCAGAAGTTCAGTCCAAGTTCTCCTTCTTCCAGGCTGTCTGGTTGCATTACGTTGACCTGTGCTTTATGTGTCCTCCAGGTCCTTTGTCTCAAAACTGTGCCCCTCAACATGGCGCCCAATTCTTTTGATGACCAATATAATGACTGTGACCCTGAAATGGAGAAGACCCTGATGGATCCAACTCAGAGCGACTTTGCTTCCCAACAAGAGTTTGTCAATATCTGGAAACGGTCACTCTCCAGATGGAAACAGGTGCAGGGCTCCCCCAACGTGCCCCGAAATTTTGGCGAGTCATGCGGCGTTGCCATTGCCGCTTACACCGATGGTGGACCGTTGTATAAAAGATTCAATGAAGCTGTCAGGGAAGGTGGGAAGTCTACTGATCAATATCGCCACAGCTTCCCCTTCAAGAGTTTCCACTTTCTCCTGACCAAAGCCCATCAGGCCTTGAAGGCCTCGTGCCGCATTGTGTACCGTGGGGTAAGGAACCTGCGGTTCAATGTCTCTGATCCTCGAAAGCCCATCCGTTTTGGGCAGTTTGCTTCCTCATCGCTGAAGAAAGAGGTGGCAGAAGGCTACGGCAAGGACACATTCTTCACCATCCAAACCTGTCTTGGAGTCGATATCTCCCACTTCTCCTTCCATCCCTATCAAGAGGAAGTCCTCATCCCACCCTATGAAGTGTTCCGTGTTATGTCCATCAGAGAGAAGGGCGCCCACATTGAGCTAAAGGCCAATGGGAAGCACAGCAATTTCAACTGTGGCCTGAAGAGTGGTAAGAGCTGGGGGATGTGGTGGATGGGGAAGGCCAGGCAGATGATCCTGCCTTGATGGGCCAACTTGAGGTGGGACTGACCCCCATGTTCCTATTGGTCTTGCCTCCTGTTTGGTGCCCTACAATCCGGGTCACAACCAAAAGGGAATCTAGCAAAGCCTGGGGCTCCTACTGAAAAAACAGGAGTGTGGACCCAACCAGCCCCAGAGTTTCCCAGGGGAAAACAGGATGCCTCCCCTCGCCCACTCCCTGAACTCACAGTGGGAAGTTATTAGAGCTCCCCAGCCCAGAAAACTCCTAGAAAGTTATACTGTTGAAGGCTTTCATGGCTGGAATCACTGGGTTGATGTGAGTTTTTTGGGCTGCACAGTGAAACTTCAGGAGAGAATGCTACTAGAACATGGCCATGCAACCTGCAAAACTCACAGCAATCCTAGAAAGTTAATCTGGGGGACTAAACAGGGGTGTTTTTTCATAGTATGGCAGAACCTAGTGTTTTGTAACTTGAGAGAATGGCCCCTTCCACGCAGCTGAATCAAATCCCACATTATCTGCTTTGAACTGGGATTTATGGCAGTGTGGACTCAGATAGCCCAGTTCAAAGCCAATAATGTGGGATTTTCTGCCTTGATATGTCATGAATGATTTTTCAATGACTTTGAAGCATAGGCTCTTTTTATTACAATTTCCAGTGTGAGAGGGTATGTCAGATTATAGAAAAACATTTAGACAAAGAATGACATTGGACAGACATACGGATTTGATGCAACTACATTGGATTTGAAATTACATTGGTTAACAAACAAAGAAAGGGGAATTACATTTTCACTCAACATTCACACACATGTACACGCATTCATCCACATGCATCCAAAATATTACCATACCCTTTTCTCACTCTTTGGAGAAGCACCTCTTAGGCCAGACCCTGCTTTCCTGCAGCCTGCCAACGTACAGTTCCATAACTTCCATATAACACCATAACTTCAAAATGCTGAAATGCCAAAACTTCTTTCCCTAAGCACAATGCCAAGGACCAGATCTCTATTTTCCACACAGCAGAACCTGACTCCCTGCACAAAATCTAAGACTCCAAAAGTGCACTTCCTCCTCTTCCCTTCAGAAAGAAGCCCCAAAGTGACCAGACTGCTCCCGTGCAAATCTGCCACTCTCCATAGGTACACCATCTCTCTCCTTCCCATGGAGCAGAGCATGGCGGGTGGATCAGACTCCTCAGGTCTGCCACACTTTGAGCATTATTAGACTGAGTCTTTTATAGGAATATTCTGTTGATGTCATCCCAAAGTTGTAAATTAATGATAGACATCTTCCATCCTGGCTCCATCTCAGTTTCCTGGCCAGGGGTTGATCTTCTTGATTGGTGTTGACAAACACAAGGCTTGTGTTGACTTCCTTCTTAACATAAGGAGTGTTGCAAACATTTCTGTTATCACTGTCTCAGTTCTTATCACGGCTTCTCATTAGCAAGTCCAGCAAGCAGGGAGTTAGTCATTGCAGGCCTTAATATTATACTGGCGTCTCCAANCATTTAGGGCTTTAAAGGCTAAAGCCAGCACTTTGAATTGTGCCCGGTAGCAAACTGGCAGCCAGTGGAGCTAGCACGACAGAGAAGTTGTGTGCTCCCTGAGCGCCGCTCCTGTTAACAACCTGGCTGCTGTCTGTTGGACCATTTGAAGCTTCCAAACAGTCTTCAAAGGCAGCCCCACATAGAGAGCGTTGCAGTAGTCTATACGGGATGTATATTCATGCATACATTTACTTTAAATATATATTGTTTAATATTGCTTTCAAGCTAACCATACATGAATTTTGTATTTAGACTTGGGTCTCATCTCCATGCATCTCATTATGTGTATATGTCATGAATAACTTTTCAATGACTTTGAAGCATAGATTCTTTTTATTGCAATTTCCAGTGTGAGAAGGTATATTAGATTACAGAAAACATTTAGACAAAGAATGACATTGGACATACATATACAGACATACAGCAACTATATTGGATTTACAATTGCATTGGTTAACAAACAAACAAAGGGGAATTACATTTTCACTCAACATTCACACACATTATTATTATTATTATTATTATTATTATTATTATTATTATTATTATCTTTATTTGTACCCCGCTAGCATCTCCCGAAGGACTCGATGCAGCTTACAAAGGCCAAGGCCTCAAAACACACATGTGCACGCATTCATCCACATGCATCCAAATATTACCATATCATTTTCTCCCTCCTTGGAGAAGCATCTGTTAGGCCAGACCCTGTTTTCCTATAGCCAGCCAATGCATAGTTCCAAAACTTCCATAACACCATACCTTCAAACCGCTGAAATGCCAAAACTTCTTTCCCTAAGAACAGTGCCAAGGACCAGATCTCTGTTTTCCATACAGCAGAACTTGACTCCCTGCACAAAATCTAAGACTCCAAAAGCGCACTTCTTCCTCTTCCCTTGAGAAAGAAACCCCAAAGTGACCAGACTGCTCCCGTGCAAATCTGCCACTCTCCGAATACACCATCTCTCTCCTTCCCATGGAGCAGAGCATGGCGGGTGGAACAGACTCCTCGGTCTGCCACAATTTGAGCATTATTAGACTGAGTCTTTTATAGGAATATTCTGTTGATGTAGTCCCAAAGTTGTAAATTAATGATAGACGTCTTCCATCCTGGATCCATCCCAGTTACCTGGCCAGATGTTGATCTTCTTGATTGGTGTTGACAAACACAAGGCTTGTGTTGACTTCCTTCTTAACATAAGGAATGTTGCAAACATTTCCGTTATCACTGTCCCAGTTCTTATCACAGCTTCTCATTAGCAAGTCCAGCAAGCAGGTAGTTAGTCATTGCAGGCCTTAATATTATACTGGTGCTTCCAAAATTATTAACTCCATCCATACAACCTCCATTCTTCCATTCATTCCCACACATCATATTAAATTCACATTTATCAAATTTGCACATTGAATTTCTTATTACACATTTATGCAAATACAGGTACAGGCAGCCCCTGAGTTACAAGCATCCAACTTACAAATGACTCCTAGTTAAGAATGGGGGTGAGACCACATATTTATACATGGCTATCATGTCTCCTCTCATCCTTCTCTTCTTCAGGCTAAACATGCCCAGCTCCTTAAGCCGCTCCTCATAGGGCTTGTTCTCCAGACCCTTGATCATTTTAGTCGCCCTCCTCTGGACACATTCCAGCTTGTCAATATCTCTCTTGAATTGTGGTGCCCAGAATTGGACACAATATTCCAGGTTTGGTCTAACCAAAGCGGAATAGAGGGGTAGCATTACTTCCCTAGATCTAGACACTAGACTCCTACTGATGCAGGCCAAAATCCCATTGGCTTTTTTTGCCACCACATCACATTGTTCGCTCATGTTTAACTAGTTGTCCACGAGGACTCCAAGATCTTTTTCACACGTACTGCTCTCGAGCCAGGCATTGTCCCCCATTCTGTATCTTTGCATTTCGTTTTTCTTGCCAAAGTGGAGTATCTTGCATTTGTCACTGTTGAACTTCATTTTGTTAGTTTTGGCCCATCTCTCTAATCTGTCAAGATCGTTTTGAATCCTGCTCCTGTCCTCTGGAGCATTGGCTATCCCTTCCAATTTGGTGTCGTCTGCAAACTTGATGATCATGCCTTCTAGCCCTTCATCTAAGTCATTAATAAAGATGTTGAACAGGACCGGGCCCAGGACAGAACCCTGCTTGTGGCACTGAGCTCGTCACTTCTTTCCAGGATGAAGAGGAAGCATTGGTGAGCACCCTCTGGGTGGAGTTGCACTTGAAAACGTGCCTGTTGTGACTTACATACAAAGTCAATGTAAAAACAAAGTTTACAGAACATTTCTTGTTTTTAACTTGGGGACTGCATGTATTCCAAAATCTGGAAAAAAAAATCCAAAACACTTCTAGTCCCAAGCTCTTCAGATAAGGGATACTCAACTGGTATTTTCAATCTGTTCTAACGAGACTTTACATGTAAGAGTGGGTAGAGGCGTTGGAACGTGAATTGATTTTTTTTAATGAATGTTTTTATAGGGCAGCAACAAAGGAGTTTACAAAGATATGTTCGGAATGATCAAGAGGGCAGTTCAGTTCTTCCACTGATAACAAATCACGTCCTACCTTTTCAGACTTGTTTTAACTTTAGCTGTCCACTGATATTTTCATTAAATGAATGATCTAAATAAACTCGACATGAAATAGCATCTCAAAGCCTGGGCCTGGAGAACATACAGCCTGAAGGCACCATGACTTGTTGTGGCCTGCTAAAGTTCTTTCCATCACCATTATGCACTGTTGCAAGCTAACTAAATGAAGCTGTGTTTTGAACATCTAAGTGAACTTTATGCTGGAGGTAGAATGCAAACCAAGTTTCTGTCCTACAATCTCCAATGGCATTACCCTAAATTCTAATGTGAGCTTAAAGCTGTGCCTTCAGTATTCTCTGTCGTCCACTGTATTCTTCATAACAGTTACCTCTAGTGTTAAAACAAAAAAAAAAAATACATTATGCTGAGCAAAAGTATAACTAGAACATTTTGGGAGATTCTCATATCACATTTTATTTGCATTTTTTTTTCAAATAGCTAGAAAACTTTCAGCACATTTTATTTGATTTTGTTTTGGAAAAATGGCATTCATAACCATTTTGAAAAGAAAAATAATGTCATATCCTTTTGGCAAATGTGAATTTCCATGAACATCTGGAGACCACCTTTTGAAATACACTAGTCAAGGAAAGGCATGCCCTTGTTAGAAATCAACCCTTTGAAAAGGTGATGTTCACAAGCACAGGTAACTCAGCTGTTAAACTGATAAATTATATCTTTGAACTGCCAGGGACAAAGACATGCCACTACACAATAAAAATGTATACTTAGCTAGCAGAGTTTTAAAAAATGTTTCTTTGAAGATTGTATGATTGTACTCACTGCTTCTCAAAGCAGACATATAGTTAACTGTTCCTGCATAAGTCTAAAAGACATCTGCTTTGACTGAAGTCCAAAATCAT